AGTTTAGACAATGTCAACCGTCCTTACAGTTTAGACAATGTCAACCTTACTTAGAGTTTAGACAATGTCAACCTGTAATGATACAGATGATAAATAATGATAGAAATAAACATCATAAAGTAGGCAATCACATATCATATGTTGTTTATATCTTCCACCAGACAAATCATTGATTAATATTTCAAAGTTAAAAAAAATACATTTTAAAATTATTTCCAAAGGAAATATAATAATTAGAGTGAAAGGCAAAGAGCTGGGGCTTTGCTTATAAACGTCATTCAAACTCGAATATTAAATAGTGATTGGCTCTAGAGCAATATATTGCCCACGTCCGTATTAATTTTTATTTCTAAAACGTTCATAACGACCAGTCTGAGAGCTTTATGCTCTTTACAAACACATTTACTGTGTGTTTTCTGTGATTCTAACACTTCAGTGGCGGATCCAGAGGGGGACTGGGGCATGCCCCCCTCCCAAACGCATGACGATTCATATGATCTGGATTACGCATAGCTTCTCTGCGATTTACGCTCCGTATATCTTAAGCGAAGCTTGGATCCCCCCCCCCCCAATACATTTTGCCGGATCCGCCACTGTAACGCTGGGATATGTTTATTAGAAACAGTGAATGAATTTTAATAGATGTTGAATTGTTCAGTTACGAAAACATCGAGTTACAAAAAAGACAAAAAAAAATGTTTAAAAAAACGAGGCCAACGTTTGTGAAACCACGCCCAAATTATAACACGATGTTCAATTAACAGTAACTTCGAGGCCTTACTGGCAACATAGATTAGTGTTTTTGTTGAACGCCAGTCGTGTTCAGGTCACACCAAGTACGGGCTAAAATAATAAGGTCTATGATTTAAGCTAATGTCATATGTTTGCATATCGGCTAGACCCAGTAGCGTTCGCGAGAAAACATTGGTTAGCACGGGATAACGAACGCCCAAACTTACTTAATACACAGAGGCGGTGGCAGCTTTTTTTGACTGTAGGGGCGAAGATTTTATGTGAATGTCAACAAACCGAGCGCCGAAGGCGCGACCTTTCTTTGGGGTCCGGGAAAATTTTTAAATCTAGACACTCTGAAACGCTGTTTCCTGCATTTTGGGGAGCAAATTTTGATGATATACTTAGGTATATTTCTCTTACGTTGGGCCGCACTGTGTGCATTTCTACCAATATTTGCGGTGGGTTTTAGTGATTAATATAGATGAGTGTTTTACCTTATTTTATTTACCTATTTTTCATGGGGCGACCGCCCCCACTGCCCCCACGGTGCTGCCGCCATTACACAAATTTTCGGTGA